AACTCACACACACTGAAATTTGCATGAAGGTCTTCTCAAATTATTTAAGTTGTCCATGACTTGTGGATCACGTACGGTTGCAATTTCTGCTCCAAGTAGAGAACGAGAGAGGACTTGGTTTACCAAGCACGACAGGTCTTTGGAAATCACCATGTGAGCGCCCAGGCCTGCGTTTTTCAGCATGGGACGCGCTGAGCCTGCATGACCGATTTTTGTTTGAATGTATATGGTCTTCCCATGTGGACTAGGCGTATGCATATGCTCCTGCCTGGAAACCTTCCCAATAACCTGTCGCTTCTTTGACATAAAATGTGCACTTCAACTTGGGGCAGATGGAGCCCATTAATATCGGCACTTGGCCTTCAATGCGAGTTCATGTGGGACTCAGTTTTGCCTCAGTAGGGGCCAGTCAGTGAGTTAAAATTGTTGAAGCATACAGGAGAATTCACAGTAGGCCTAACAAGTTCTTACTGCTTTTACTTTGCACAGTTCATCCATGTGCTGATGCAGTCAATCCATGCACAAACGACAGTAGTTGCTTCTCTCTTGACGGTATCACGGCAGTATGTGCCTGTGTCAACAGCTCAAGCAGACAAGAGTGCGAACATTGTAAGGATTTGTGTAAAATAATGGTTAGCCTTAATCGGTAGAGCTGTGCCCCCATGCCTCAACGAAGCCACCTGTATGGAGGTAGCTTCCTTAGCTGTGTGCTTGTGCTCTGATGGATTTGTTGGACCCATTTGCGAGCACAATAGGCAATTTGGTTTGGTTTGTTTTAGCAGCACGGAATAAAAACTACACGTACATGTACCCAACATTTCTGGAATGACAACATACGTACTTGTATATTACACTTAAAAAATGCAGTACTCGGGATATCTTTCTTTGCACAAAAATTGTCAAAAAGGTTTGTCTGTCACAATCAACAAAAAAGAACACCAGGTGTAGATGTGCCATCACCTAGATCCTCAATTCCAGTCAAGCTGATTGGACAGTTGCCACTTTGAGTCAATGAGCGTTTTCTTTTGGAATTTTAGATGGGGTGTGTCACGCCAGCCTCAGCCCATGTCTGAACGGAGCCACATGCATGGATGTTAACTCGTCGGCTGTTTGTCAGTGTGCTGATGGTTTCCAAGGTGTAAACTGTGAGAACGGTGAGTTACGCCTGCACTCCACTCATTGAATGCCATATGTATAAATGGTGCACAATGTATTGTTTTCATTTAACGGCCTAAGGTTCAGTTTGTACTCAGTGTGAAAGTGAACACAAATGTGGTATTGTGATTTCAGATCATATTATATCGGCGAATTTGCAAATGATTAACCATACTTCTAGTGAGGTTAATACTTCCTGCCGGGTGGATTTCTCTTGAGCGGGATGAGATGGCGGGACCTTTTCGAGAATTTTCGTTTTCAAAATTCTTCAAAAATTCATGTATTCTTTTACTGGACGTCTACACCCAAACGAATGACTCTCTGGTAGCTACTCTAATCTGTCAGGCAATCTTCATTGACGCCCTAGTATTCAGCCCAGGCCTGCAGCCCAGTAAACCGGGCACCCCGGCGGGAAGTGGTTAAGTTTGCTTTGCCTTTACATTTGCCTGAAGCATTAAAAAGCCTTAAATGTGGAAAAACATTTGAAGATGTGCATTCATGTTGGACTCATGAAAACCCTACAACAATTAACTAATTGTGAATGAGGCAGAATTAAACACAAAGCAGCGACAAATTGAAGAACAGCAATAAAGTTAAGCAGCCATCACAATTACTAACGAGTCATTTGTCACATTGAATGCATCATCATTAGGGCCTATGTTAAAAGAGCATCGCTTTTATCTGGAGTTGCGCCTTTCAGTGTGGACTATTTGTTGTACAATGTGCAGAACACTTCTATTTCTGTTTGGTTCTGTGTAAAACAAAAGAGCAGATTATAACTGCTGGACATGTGTGAAAGAAGTTGACCTTGACGTTGGAAAGTGGCCTCATACTGTGAACAACCCAGTGCCACATTGTATTATGAATTACCATCGCCATCACGTTCTCTTTAAAGATGTCTGATTTGGATGACAGTGTGCATATATGTATTGATTAATCCAAATATAGCTGGCCCCTCACCTAGCTCACAAAACTGTCCTCACATCTGGGCCTCTTTTGTGTGCAGCTCCTATGAAGAGCGTGCTTTTTTTTCCCCCTGATGCACAGTGACTGCATGCCATGACAGTGTCAACCCATGCCTGAATGGAGCAACGTGCATGGAGATGGGCTCCATACCCGTCTGCCGATGCACTGAGGGTTTCATTGGCATCAACTGCTCAAGAGGTAGCCCGATATTTCCAACTTCTGTAGAAATGAATCAAGGCTGGTGATGATTGCCATATCTGCCCTGAGCAGAAGCACCCCCTCATCGGTTGAAAAGAGCCATGTTGGCGGGGAATGTTTGTTTTGTTGGTAGGAATGGGAACCCTAATGTATTACCGTAAGTTTCCTTGCAGACTCATTAAGTTTGATAACTGCTGTTATTGGGTTTCAGTTAGTGAAGATTCTTTACTTTTATGATAAGCAGCTACATCAAGTTTGGCTCAGTCATCTCTTTACAGGGTTTTCTTTTCTGAATAAATAATTCAGCATCCTTTCTTTCAAATATTCAGAATGTCACATCTGTTTCTGTCCTCAGTGAATCCATGTGCTGAAGGCATCAATCCCTGCTTGAATGGTGCCAACTGCTTCCCCAACATCCAAGCAGTATGTACGTGTATGAACGGGTTCTCCGGACAACATTGCGAAATAGGTAAAATTGAATTCCAGCTGGCTTGACGAACTAACGACGAACTAAGCATGATTGAACCATTACATTCAGTTCAGAATCACACGTTACTCAAGGACATAACTTAACAGATATTCTCGGTAGCTGTGCAATCGTATTTTATAACAGTATCCATATCTGTCACTTTTGGGGCTCGCATACTTTCTTCTGAAACTTTGCGGCTACTCAAAAGATGCTTAATGGGAATAAATATATGCTTGAGTAGCATTATTTCAAACATCCCTCTGGCTATGCAGTGTATGTAATCCTTTTGGCGAGTAGTCGTAAGCAATCTCCTCATTTGGAGATTGGCGCTGGCGTGGTGCCTACGTATTGTGTGAAGTTGGCACACAGCCAGACATTATTTTATCAACCGTTTAAACCAAAGAGCAACCGCATGGGCCAGTGATCAGAAGGAATGGCTAAACTCTCTTCGGTATTAATGAATGGGAATTCTGATAGTCTCGCTGCAAACACCTGTTTTACTCATGCGCAGAGGATGACAAATGAGCACGTTGTTAGTGCCGTTTGCAAAGTGTGCAACTTTTTTTTTTCCGTCGCGCAATTTGTCCAAGGTTACATGTAACGTGCCGTTTTTTCTTGCAGCACCTGTTTGCCATCCTAGCGTCGACCCCTGTCTGAACGGGGCGACTTGCATTGAGGTGAATGGAACGGCAACGTGTATTTGCACCATTGACTTCAGCGGCATCGACTGTGGGAATCCTGGTGAGTGATGAGGCAAGGGGAGGTAGTGCGACAAGCCGTTCATTTGAATGTCTATGAAAGCAATTGGCTGATGGCTGCCTCCATTTCCTACACACCTATATCTTATTGTGCGCAAATGCCAAGATCTTCTAGGCAGCCTCGCTGGACGACCCAAACTGAACCAACCAACAAAGACACCGATTGAGTGCGCCAGCAAAAGTTACCAAAGTTATGGATTTCTTCACAGTGAAGACCAAAGAAGCAAAGGTCTTTGAAGATTGTTTTCTTTCATGCAACAGTGGACCCATGTCATGCAAGTGTCAACCCGTGCCTGAATGGAGGGACGTGTACACAGGTCAACTCAAGAGCCGTTTGCCAATGCCCTCCCCTCTTCCTGGGTCCAAAATGTGAAAATGGTGAGTGTATAGACCATAATAGGTACAATGAGGCTGGGCAAACACACTTTACTGTGCATCGGAGCAACGCCTTGCAAGGGGTAATCCATCTTTGACATGTCAAGTAAGCATGTAGTGGTCCACGCATGAGAACTGCGTGTCCCACATCTGAGCAAAATATGTGGGCCAATCAGGGCAATGATTGAAGCATTTGGCAACCAATGAAATGTCAGAATCTGTAAGGTAATTGCCCATCACTACTTGTTGAAGTTGAACATGTGACTTCCTGAAATGACTCTTTTCAAACGAGGATTCCATCCTTTCCCATTTTCATAGCTAACTTGGCTCTGGTTTCTCCGTGTGACAATGGCATATGCCTGAACGGAGCAACGTGCATGGAGATGGGGTCGTCAACACTCTGCGTGTGTAGCGATGGGTTCAGCGGCATTAACTGTGAGCAAGGTATGTAGGATTCAAAACACTAGGAACCACACACCAGAATGTCGGATATTGTTACACTGCGTTTTTTTGTGGTCATGGCGAGCCTTCAGAGATATTCTCTTGTAACTATGAGGCCATCAATACATGAACATCAGATATCTCTCCATTATTTCCATTTTTTGCGGGACAAAAACAGACAACAAAAACAGCTTGACTGATTTAATCTAAACTTCCCAGAGCTCAAAATGGAGGTTTTTCAATGCTTACCTTAATTTCAAGAGATTGGCCATAGGACAGCTGAGGTTGGGAGAGGTGGTGGGATTCCCCTCTCTCAATAGTTGCCTAGATTTTAAAATTACCGTGAACACTCTACTCGATGTGCTGTAATTCCTTTTTGCAGCTGACCCCCAGGAGCTGGTATTGGATGAACCACGGACAGGTGAAAGCAGGAAACGGAATGTGCACACCAATCCTGAAGGTACATAACTGGGCTGAAAGTATGTGTTAGGTTTTTCAACTACTGTAATTTGATCTTGACTATTGGCTGTGACCTTTTGGCTCTTTGAACATGTGGCCTAAAATGTGCCCACAAATGAAGTGAACTTAACTGATTGATAGTGACTTCAGGAAAATTACAGTATCAAACTCAAAAGAAGTGTCTGTGAAATGTTGCTGAACAAAATTTGCAAGTACTTTCAGATTGTGAGAGCCTGGCCAAACATTTTGAAAATGTTCGTGTTGTGGGTACATTTAGCGCTAACTTTAAACCTTTCAGGGTGGTTTTTGATTATCAAGATGAACAAACACCACACCAGTGCTCTTCCAACTGAGCTATCCAGCCCACATATTTCAAAAGGCCACAGCCAATTTGTCAATATCTCTGTTCGAGGGACGCTAGCCAGAGGCCATTAAACCTGAAACACCATGTAGCCAGGGATCACACCCCAGTAACACGATACAACCTGGGAAGTGGTGAACGGGGATCACTCAAAGAGGATACTGCTTTTTTTGAGCATAGGAAAAAACCGATATGGGGAAACTGGTAGTTTTTGCATTGAATGCAACAATAGACACTTGTCCAGGCAAGATCCAGCAGGCCAGCTATCTCCAAGTCTAACTAACCTTGGAGCCTGCAGATGCCAGCTTCCACGGGATCAAACCAGTGGCAAATGAGACAAGTTATTATCATCTCAACATCTATGCCCTCACTGTTACGATTACCCAACTTGGCAGTGTCCTCCAGATATTCCATCCATGTTGTCTGTTACTGCCATTGGTAGAGTAACCCGCTCTAGTTGTAAAGACATCATTTTATTTTCTCGCAGAGTCACGTGAGCCCGCATTGAATACAGCTTCGAGCCATGGCTGGCAAGCACTACCACTCTCAACTTTCCTTGTCATTATAATAATAATGCTCAGTTAAGTATAGTGTAATTCGACCACCAGAATAGACCGATTGCGCCAGCTAAGTCGTGTGACCTATAGTGGGTATAAGATATCAACAAACACGGCTCCATCTAAAGCAAAGTGTGTAATAAGTAACATTTACCAAAAATAAAGCTGACGGTAAGCACCGTACCTGGATTACTCATGTGCTGGGTGCTATTCCGTAACTTTGCTGTATTGTTTTTTAACAACACTCAAACCACTCAATACCCACTATAGGTCACGTGATTTAGCGGACACGATCGGTCTATTAGAAGCCATTACTGCGGTGGCACAACGCTCATGAACAGGTGGTACACACGCGTCAAGCTGAAGAATGTGCGTGTGAGTGCGGTGCCATCGTCGTTATGGCGTCTAATTGGATTAGTCTGTACAGGAAACTAAGCATGACAGTGCCTGCCAGAAAAAAGAGAGATTCAGAATGCGGAGTCGCAACTGAGACGTTATCACAAAGAGGCAAATTTTTGTGGCTCATTTGTGGGTCATCCTGTATGCTCAATGGTATTTAATTTTTTCGAAGGAAATATATAAAGGGTTTATTTCCAAAATGAGAGAAATGCATTCGAAAAACATGCAATGAAATACTGAAGAACTTTAGCAGTGTTGCGTGTGTCCTTAAACTTCTTTTTTCACTATGTTGACTCCATTAATGTTGTGTTCGGCCATGCTAAAGCTGTAGAAACCGACTACAGGTATCTGAGAAAGGGTAGGATTCCGAAAGACACCAAAATGGCACTTGTCATGTTGGGGAAACGAACTCTTCATGTGTTGATGATTATGTGCAACAGAACTGTCTTCATGAAAAAGAGAGTCAAGTTGAATGTCAATGCAAAAGTTGATACTGTGGTGTTTTTACTTCACCGATGAGATAGCTTTTAAGGCCTTTTTTGTCATGTATAATGCTACTTTTTAATACTTACACATATATCTTAAGTAAAACTGTGTGAAAAATCTTGTTGGGAAAGTTTTAAATGCTTTTATGCTTCCATGTGAAGTGTGATATATTTTCATGTAAGGATTAAGATTCCTTTTTAGCATTTTATTCAAGTGGGCTGTACTATACTCTTGAACTTCGTTGAGGAGGGTTGTAAGCTGAGACAAGGAGAAACAGAGAACAGCGATATGTCACTGGAAGGGAACTTCATTTATGACGTTAGTAGAACTGATGAGATTTGGAATGCTGTGCTGTGAACATATGGCTTGAAGCAATAAGCCGATGCCTGAACATAGTCATGGTCAAATCAAGGTAAACTAGCTCCCCGTGTAGCTTAGTTTTATAATTCGTGACACTAATTTAACATTTCAGTTTTCATTCAGTTCTTATTACCTTTATATTCCTAACATTGATTCTGTTAATTGTTATTGAGTATATGTAGCTGTTTTCCAATTGGTATTAACCCTGTCAGTTCCCAGTCTTTTGTACGTCAACAAATTAAGGACAGTTGCAGTTAAACCCCAACCCTCTAAGGGTACTTGGCTAGCAACGCTGTCAGACACATCAGTCTGTATCAGTTGTCAAAGTGGCTTGCCTGCCCAGTGTAACAAGATCCAACAGGTTAACTCTCCCCAAGGCCAAACAGCCTGGGAGTCTGTGGTTGCCAGCCACCACAAGATCCAACAGTGGCACTGTTCAATGGGACTAGCTCCCATTGTCTCAACATGACCAGTTTGTTTGGCTGCTGTCGATTGCCAAGTGCATCAAAGTGCAGCAGACTTTTTCACCTGATGCCCTGTGGCAGTCTGATCCGTCTGGCAGGGTTAGGGTTACGGGAAATAGACTTGCGGTGACCAGTAGCTGTGGGATGTGTTTAAGATAGTAGTAATGTGCAGCACGTTAGTTTACGTTCGTCCACATCTCTCAAGTATACCAACAATTATTGTAATAGCATTCTGCATTGGCAGGAGAAACAAATAAGTCTACAGAGTTCTTTCTCATTCATCTGGAAATGAAGCGATGACATGAATGTAACTGTAAACAGCACTGAACAGATGTCAGTCTTGGAGAGGTAGCAGCAGGCTCAGAGGAAACCAGCAGTAATGCTCACCTTTGTCAGAATGGCCAAGAGGCAAGCGACTGCAAATAGTTTCTTTGTTGTGTCAAGAACTGGTTGGAAAAAAACATCCTTGCCTTTTGATTGGCAGCCAACGATTACCTAAAATGGGCATGTTTCCATTGCAGCTCAGGCCAAGTAAACGCACTTTTCCCTGAGGTACATGTAACTGTGTAAGCTCTTCTAAAAAGGTGAAGGGTTTGGTACCACATGAAATCCAGAAATTTCTCTGTCCTTTCTTGGGCAGTCTGGTTAACATGTCTTCTTTTCCACAGAGGCTGCATTTCATTCTGCACTGCCACATTTTGGGACATGAGAACTTTCGATGCAAAGTGTCAGCTGTCCAATTAAATCATACCAAATGCAGAAACTGTTGTCAGCGATGTTTCTGTCAAATCTCCGGGAAATTGTTCAGTCTTTTTGTTTTCATCTGAACAGCAATGTTGCATGATCCTTTGGGGACCCTGTCTCCCCTTCTCCAGATTCTGCTCTTGAAGGCTACCCGTGCCGACGCTGCCTTATCAGCAGAAATCCAGCGAGAAAGCCCGGTAGCCAAAGTTGGTGTAGACATCAATCAGGGAGCTGTTTCCCGAGACACACAGCACCTGCAAGTGAAGTCCAGAAACCATTCATTTGCCATTCAAATTTTCATTTGGAATGCATCAAGCCCCCTTTTTTTCTGTTGGCTATTTTTTCAGTTGTGTTTGCATTCAGCACTGGAGAATGTTATTGCCACATACAAACAGTTGCTCCTCATGTTCTTTAACTGTAACAAGAATTTATATGATAAAGACACATAATTTTTTAAGCACTGCTTTTCTGCATTGTTTTGGGCCATCATGCATGGGACCATTGATGGGAATACAAAAAGACGCCTGTAACATTGCTGGATAAAGGAAGTGTGTGAAAAAGAACGTGTGTGAAGTTGAACTTGGCCAACTTTAGCCGTTAAACTGGTAAGTTCAATTATTTTACTGAAGGATATAATATTACTTAATCACTACTATATTTGCCAGTGAAATCACATGCTGTTTCTTGCGTGCTTTCTTTCAAATAAGTGAAAAAAATCTACTGACAATGAGAGACTCTGAGATGCTAGGTGGCAGCAGCCACAGCAGTCCTTTTGGTTGACGTACACATGTGCCTGCAGTTTGTAGGCATGCACATTAGTTCTGGGCAGGCACATAACCGCAGAAAAGGACCAGTCTGCCTGCCGTCACCATGCATCTTGGAGTCTCCTGCTCTGAGCGCACACATTGAATATTCGTCTTGCAAACTAAAACTGGTTTTGCTGGTGGTGTTGAGGTCACGATGCACACAAGGAATGGATCTTTCAAGGATGACTGATCACCTTAGTCCAAACATGTAGTTCAACCCATCAGAAGACCAGTCACCGAAGTGGCTTTGATATCTCTACATGTTGCAGTCAAAGCCACAGCCAAAACGTTTGTCTGCAGCCACATCAGAAGACCTATCATGAACAAAGATTCTACTCATCTGACCTTATTGCTTCCGTTTTCTGTGTTGATAGCCAGACTGAATACGCTTGTTGCAGTGCAGGGGACCTTGGTCTTGGGAACACCGTTGATGTTCCAGTGGTATACAAATGGCGTGCTGCCTCCCGATATGATCTGTGGCCACAGAAAAAAACAATCCCAACTTGGAATTTAGCTATTTTGAGGTGAGTGGCCTAGTTTAGAGACGTTACACAAAAGAAATGACACATGGAGCATGAGGGGTCAAGTGAAAGAAAGACCCAAATTGGAAAAGTCAGCCAAATATTTCCATGCTACTTCATTTACTTAAAAAGATCTTTCGGTATGAAAAAGTAGAGTGTTTGCAACATTTTTAAATCCGAAGGAATCCATAAATCATTGATGTAACTTTTGACAGAAACTTCTCAGTTGTTTATTTCAGGGAAGATTCATTTAAGAGAAAATCCACTGTGTCAAGATGCCCTCAAACTAAAAATGGTTAGTTACTTAAACGCACTTAAAAATTTGCCTTCCAAAACTTTGGAGAAGAAGAGAGTATGGGAAAAGTGGATCAGATAGTGGAGAGAGAAAAATCGGTACAGATTAAGCAACTTGGAAAGATCAGAATATTTTAGACCATAGGCTGGTAGTGATAAATTTGGAGGTTTACACAAACAACATCTTATCTTGCCAATGCACGTCAAGGATACAAGAAACAGAGGCAACCACTGAAGAGGTTTTATGGATGGGAATTAAACTATCAATTTTTATGTTGTGTCAACTCAGGAAACCAGGGTCTCACCGAATCTTCATGGAAGGTCACCACCTGAGAGCAGCAGTTTGGGGCGTCAAAGGTCACGGTGGGGGTCAACGACCTCAGATGCCAGAGAGACAAGGAGGGGCCTCCGCCACAGACCTGCAGAAGTGTAAAACCATTTTAAGATAAAAATTGCCGGCAGGGAAATGATGCCAGAAGGGTACAACACACATTGGTCTACCACCGCACAAAATCTCGTCAAATCTACTACAACTAGGGTAGGATTTAAATCCCATCCAGTTGGGTTATTAGTACCTACTTACCACCAGTAGATTCACGTACTACAAACAGGCCCCATTCATTAAATCAAAGGCAGATTTTCTTTTCCAGAAAGTACGCTCTTCCATGATGCCGGGAATAACCTCCCTTACCTTCATCAAGAAATTGTTGATTTTTTTTTTTGTTTACTTGCATGCATCCTTACCAGCCATTCCTCGCCAGGATCCAGTGACACACATCCAACCCATTTGCCATGCTGTGGTCTCGCACACTCCTGAAAAAAAAATGAGGACATTCCAACTCATCACAATCAAAATCTTTTATCAATCTATCTAGCGTTTCTGTGGAACTTCAGACTCCCAAAGTTTATAATCTCTAGCCCTCCCGGCCCCCCCCCAACTCATGCACGAGAAAATCCTACCTCCATTGAAAACATTTCCAACATTTCTGATTTGACTGTGGATCCCTTGAGATGAGTCCTAAGGCCACTTATTTCAGAAAGGATTAGGAAATTGAGCTCCATTTTGATACATTGCCCAGTTTGATACCTAGATGAAATTAGTTGAGGGTTTCTTTATTTCAACCATACAATATTCACTTAGAGGCCTAAATGGCTGCGGCGGCTTAAAATCTCATTTTATAGGGTTAGGTCACATCTCTCTTCCAAATGTTAAACACTTACATTTTTCCATTTTGCAGAAAAAAAAAACAATTATACATTCCTATATACTTGTAAATAAGCACAGTTTAAGTGGAAGGACACAGCATCTTGACACTTGCATCTTTTCCTACCTCATGTTTGTAGGGCTCAATGAGATGCACGGCTTCTCCTGATCTTCTCGAGTCTACCACATGTGCAAAAGTCAAGTGAAAAAGAGTTGCTCCAGTGAACAAAAAAGTCAACATTTAAGGCAAGACTCCACAAACACCCCACCCCATCCCTTTTCACTGATCAAGCAGGTCTATGCTTGCTCAAAACTGCTCAACGTTTCAAGAAGTGTAGATAAGTAACTACTTTTTCTACCAAGATATATCCAGGGTCGTAATCGTAATCTTTCAGTTTCCCAACTTTTGACTCACCCCATATTCTTACAGAACCGTCCTCTGCGGATGAAGCCAGCTGCTGTGATTGGTGGTATAATGAGACGCAATGGATGTAATCAGTGTGGCCTGCAAAGGTCTCCTATTCCAAACAAATATCAGGGTATTTCAGGTTACAAGGACCAAAGGAAACAGTTATCCCCAAATCACACTAAGAAACTACACAAAATGCTTTACATCCTCTGTCAGCGAATTCCTTCAGGCTGTACAGGACCATGCATGCCAATCAGTGACATCAGAGCAATTCATTCAATCTAAGAATACACAAAGGGTTAACACAACATTGAACCACCGCACACACGTGGCTAATGTCACAGTAAATACATGTACTCCAAGATTTTCTTCAAATTATAAAACTGGGCTTCAGATTCAGAACTTCAAATTCGGAAAGCGGTACCTTAGCTTTGCCTCTATCATGGTGTAATCTTTGACAGAATTCAAAATGGAGAAGCGACAAAGGCAGTAATATGACCACTTTGTTTCCTGCTGCTCAGGCATTAAACTGGGTCACCAAGGACAGAGTGAATACCTTTTTAGTCCCACTTTCTAGATCCCAAGCATACACCACGCTATCACCACCACCTGAGTACAAAATGTTGTCCTGTATTTGGGGGAAAAATGTATTTTGTAGAGTAAAAGTTGTAAGACCAGTCTATGCAAAAGAAGGCACTATGTTGGACTTGTTCAGTTATTTGAGTGGTTTAAACATTTCTGTTTTACTGGAGTTTAGGTGCAAAATGAACATTTCAAAAGACTCCAACCATAACTCCCCCTTTCACTTAACTTTATAGCCACTCCCCTTCAAATCCCCTCCTGGCAAGCCTTGCCCAACAAACACACAAGTAAATCTGGGACAGAATCTGAGTGGATTCACTTTGAATCAATATCGTGTTGATCAAATAACTTGACAATTGAGAATGATAATCCAATCTATTGTATTTCCTCAGTTCGATCCAAGATTGGTTGAAACACTGTACATGTATTGTGAAGCTCTGAAATACCAGTGTACATGTACTTGTTTTTTTTTTAATGCTAATTACCTTCGTACTGTAGGCTAGTGCATTGGTCTCAAATGCACTAAAGTTACTGGATACTGGCAGAGACAGGGACCAGGCAATCTTAGGATTCTAAGGAATGGTAACAAGCATGAAAATTATCTCTATCTTAATATTTTCTCGCTGAAAAAAAAAAACAAAATACAGGCAAAAGTTGGACCAGAACCTGCACTCTACTGTATCCCAAATATATGTATACTGCACTGTTAGATAAACATTACCAGCCAAGTGCCCAATTTATACTTGTGGTTGGTGGTCCTATATACTAAGTCAAAAGAACTTTTTCACCAGAAAGCAGCAATAAAGGAGAAAGGCACCAGTTGAAAATTGGTCTCAGCTCAGATAAATCTCACCGCTAGAAGTAGCAGAAAAGCTCTCTGAACTCAGAAGTCTGTTTCTTACCTTCTGAAAAATATCAGCCCAGGCCCAGCCTTTGATATCACCACAGCCGGCACTGGAAGTGGGACATAGAATAAAGTTTAAGCCTGTACGAATCAAGTATATTGCGACTAAAGCTATGATTTCTTGCCACTTGGATTGCTAAGGTGAATAAATGACAATTTCTAATCTTGGAGCAGGCCTCATTTTTCAACTTGACAGTCACAAATGAGATTTTTTCACGTGGAATATGGGGGGTGTGATATTGAATAACAAGTTCTCTAAAGCTCTCTAAAACCCAAGCGTCACAGCGGAAGGCCTTAAATTTATAACATCCCTTGTCAAAGAATATTTTTATATGCTTCAGATGTGATAAAGTAGAAAGGACAGGATTCCAATTTCACACACCTTATCAGGAATTTTTCTGTTGACACCAGTGCATAAATAGCTCCATCGTACGCTGTTGGAGAAGAAAATATATTTGAATGATAAAACTGTTTGTTTTCTTGAGGCTATCTTATGGTAAGGGTTTGCGGGAACGCCATGGAATCTTTCTCTCCAAGAAGAGGTGGGGTTCTGTACAGAACTGGTGAGTGTCAACTCCACCTTTCAGCCAGGATGCTCTGGCTGTCCTTCGACCAGGATGCTCTTACTGTCCTGAGGCTGTCTTGTCATCATTCCGTGGGCGTCAATTGGTGGGGGACAAGGGGGGGGCATGTCCCCTTCCCCTTTTCCACTTTTTTCCAAAACCAAAATGAAATTGTGTAACTTGCAAAAAAATTTACCAAATTTGTTAAAAAAATGGCTAAAATAGCCAGGACCCCATGCCACTCAGAGCTTCGCACTCGCATTTTTCTGATCAGGGCTATGCCTCCCCCCCCCCACTTTTCAAAACGGATAGACAGCCTTGCATGAGACTGAAAAAACACAAGTCTGAGCCCGTGTGTTGGTACTTATAAATTGTTCGCTGCATAGGACCTACCTTTGAAGGAGACTAACGGTTTCCATGTTTCCTTGTTGGCTTCTGCACTCAAAGAAGCTGTAATACTGTGGAGAAGGAATTGACAGGAAACCATCAGGCGCAATTGCCTGGAGGAGTGATTGACAGGCCTACACTGCTTTTCCAGAAAGTGAACATTCAACTTTCTTGAGACTGAAAGGTTCTTGACACCAGGGTGCTGAAATTTTGTTATCAAAAAGGTACCTTTTAACCACGTGACGCCGGATGACGTGTAAACCACACGTAATGTTCCTTATTTGTTGCACGGAAGATGTGTACACTCGTTTAAGAATTCTTTTTTCATTTCCCCGGTTGACGTATTAACACGTCCCACTTGGCTGGGTCAAAGCACAATTGCAAGGTTGAAGAATTTGTGGGTTAAAAAACCCACCCCCCAGCAGCTTCTCCGGGTAAGAAGATCCAATGTTAACTGGCTATGAGTAGGAAATACAGTATAGGAAATACTCTTTTTGTTGGTGACATAACTCCCAATTGCACCAGGCATTACAATATTCACATACAGATCTCATCCAAATCCCCCTACTCCCCAAGAGGGGAATGCCCGGGGGGGGAAGAATGCTGCGGACTTTGAACAAACCTGAAGATTGCAATCGTTCCATAGCTGTTGCCAGCTACCAGGTATTTGCCATTTGGGGAAATGCATTGGGCATACACAGTCATGTGCATCTGCTGGCGCTGCCGACGAATCTCTTGCTACAAATAAACATTAACAAATTTTATAGAAGTTTCAATCGTGCAAATTTTTGTAACCAAAAAGACAATTGGCCCTGAGCAGAAGCACCTCCTCATCGGTTGTAAAGAGCCTTGTTGATAGGGACTGTTCATTTTCATTGGTAGCGACACGACCACAACAGGCGCATTTCATAGTGCTTGGAAAATTGCACCCTCTTTTGGTCACACTCAGGGCTCACAGGCAACAGCAAAGAGTTCTGAAGCTGTATCCCACCATCAAGTGCTCAATGCCAACCACGAAAAATTGCACTTCACCTTGAATTTAGGCATGATTTTACCCTGTGTAAAGAGCTGTAAAATCTTCAATTAATCCCCACACTGGTGCAGCAAATGCATGTATGATGGCAATTCTTGAGAATTGTGGATGTGGTATAATGTGCATGTACAGGTATGTACTGTACAGTGTACATGTACAACCGAAGGCGGAAAGAGTTCTAGGCCCATATATGCATCATTTGCATGTCATGATGTATGTGGATTTTTCCTTCCTCCATGGTTTAAATATGAAAACTTAGTATTTTCTGAGTAAATGCTTCAAATTTCAATATTTTCCCGAGTAAAATTGACTTTTTAGGATATGCTGTCACTTTCTGATGGCTTATAACCCACTGCAAGAGAAAATTAGTGATGTCTCCCTAAAAACTACCCTAATACTAAATACGAAGAACCAACAGTTGTCAACTCAAAAGAATGAAAGATAACGCATAACATTGCAAATCCACAGCCATGACTGACGGACAGCTGCAAGATCGACAGATGAGAAAGTATGGGTACTATTTGAACTGTCTGGTGAAGTTTAAAGATGACAAACCTCCAAATTCAGTGCCATTTCGATTTTAAAACAAACAGAAAGCCAGAGGTCGAGTATGCCGGGTTGAGGCAGTATCACAACCGGGAAAGGCACTTATGATAATTAATACTAGCGTTACCCCCCATGGTTATAGGCGTCACTATTAAACATGAATTATGCAGTATCTGCTCTCAGCGATAATGCGCATACGCATGCGCGAGCTGCGAGCTGGGTACACGTACCAACACTACATGTACATGTACATGTACTGTACATGTACATGTACGTGTACAGTGCACTACTGTATGCACTGTACATGTACAATGTGTAGTGATCATTGAGGCACTTCTAATCTGAGTTTATTATCAGAAATAGGTCATTTCTATTCAACATAATTGGAGAAGCCTGAAAATGTACAAATATCACGAACAAGGCTGGTGACAGTAGTCCAATATGCGATCGTTTGATGCCCGTTTTTATTCAACTATAAAATACTGTAATGCAGTCGGAGCATATAATAATATAATTTGAGCCTAAATGCCCATGGTGGAATAATTGCCCCGCCAATTCCCAAACAAATAAGTTTACAGAGCATGGTAATTCAACTTTAGTTGTGGGGGTTTAAAATGAAAGTAACACCCGTCAAGGTGTTTGAAAATTGAAGCACGCTGAACACGTCACGTGTTAAAAGTGCGCCCTGATCTCGGATAAATTGGTTGATTGTAAGAGAGGAACTTAAAGTTGTTCATTTCGGTTTTATTCTGTCCTACAACGCTGTTATTGTTATTATTTTCATATACAATTATTCGTATGTTTTACTATAGTGCATTATTTTCATTTTATCCTAAAATGAACAAGAACGGGGTGTAGTTTGGATGTCATTATGTCCAGTGAAGCCGTCTTTCTTACACACGGGAAATATAAAAAATGACTAATGATCAGATCGTCTTCAGTTTTAAGAACAAACCCACTATAGTGGCGTATCCAGCTCGTGCAAACGAGGTGGATGGGAAGTTTGTATTAAAGAGAGCAAACTTGACTTTTTTATCTGGGAAAAAATGCTAAACCCCCTCCCCTAAAGAAAGATGGTATTACTATTCGTAAGATAACGGCGCCCTCAAGTCCTAAATTGAATAAATAAATGCAAACAGAGCATTGGCAGCATATTTCTCGGGGGAAAATTTATCTCCATGATGCCCTCGCTGATGAAAATATACCCGTTGGAAAATAGACCGTTGGGGCGATTATTCATAGAACTAATCTGGCGGGTGCATTTGCATAACCATGTCTGAAGTTCCCGCCAAAACGTCTAAAGAATAGTAGAAATGTGGTCTGCAGGGTGTTATGCAACATCTTCATCCACAGCCGTCAGTTTGCGTCCTAACACTGTAGGGTAATTCCCAACTTCACCGAGGTAGTCTTTTCATTCAGTACCACGTGGTCGTCGAGCAGCACAATGCACGAAATTTAAAGCACCTGCATTGACACGTTGACCAGGTGGTCGTGCAGAGGCCGTCGTGCTTTCTGCTGTAATTGCTCGCCTTGGCCGGGCGAGCCAGGCAAGTACAGGAGTCATATTTTTCAACCTGCATGCTGCTGATCGTGGTGCTATGCTCGAGGCTCATTGATATATGAATAGATGGAGACTGGATGCGGGTGAGCTTTTTCTAAAATAAAAGAAAAACATATCTTTACTTGAACATGTTACAGCAAACAGCTTTGAGGATATATTACAGCTTTTAGGAAACGCGTGTGAAGCCAGAAACTTGCCTGCTCAATGATAGCATGCATGTACCGACTCATACAGACGAGAAAACATTCAGGGAAGAGTTACGTATACGGACGCCAGTAATTATTCCCTACAGTGACCTGTTGGCCCTCGTAAAGGTAAAACATGTTCAGAGTTCAGTTTATTAGAAAAAATACCAAGTCTCACAGGGTTTACGTTTGTGCACAGGGTGTAAGCGGCGTCCATATAGGGAACTCTTTCCAAGCGGGGTCTATATAGAAAGTGGCATGGGTAGGGCAAGCCTCTCCGGAGCCAACAGGCTCACCAAACCGGTGTTCATCTGCGGCTCCTTCGGCAACTGTCACTGAGAATCTGCGTACCAGTCCATCGCGCGTTGCTACCAAGTTCATGTCAGTACCCAGTTGTACTCATTGGTGGAGAGACGCTATAGAAGCAGTTATTAATTGGCTTCATACAGCAAACAACTAATGGCCAGCGGCATGACGTGCTCAAACCCTCGATCCTCTGGTCCGAAGCAACAATGCCTGACGATCTGACCGTGCACAGGTCTACACCCCAAAAGGAAAAATACCAATATTTTTTGCGTCCTTCTGACATGGATGTAGTTACCATTCTTCCTATTCAGTGTGTTTTGGTGTATTTTTCTTTTTTAATGACAATAGCTTTTTCGCCTTTGTGTTTCCATGCAGATACCGACTGGATGTGGGACTGCCTGGCTGACTGGATGTGCGACTGCCTGATTTGGAGGTTGAGTGTCTGTCTTTGTGTTTGCGGTAGCAAGGTAGCTG